ACATTTGATATATAAATAAGACATAGCATAATTTATATTACATTTTCGTTTATTCAAAAATAACATTATTTGTAGTATAATTAACACGTGAAAGTTGTTGATACTTATTTATTCGATCTAAATACAGGGTAGCCCATGCAGCAACACATAAATAGTAGAAATGAAAAAAATGTGGAGTAATAGTAGGGATCATGTATCCTTCTGTCAAGTCTAGTTTCACATAATTGTTACGATTAATGTACTCAATTGCAAAACTTACATGTTGATATCACGGTGGCGGAGTAGACCAAAGCGGTAAATATGTTGAATAACATGTAATGTCTATAATGTGTAAGATCACATTATACTTTGAAACAATCAGGATACCAATTTCAGACATTGTCATCTAATGTTCAACCGGGGCACCTCGATCTGATTGAAAAAAGTTTGAAATATTGTAAACTATATTCCAATATTGACTTCCAAATATATTGAGGTATTCTGTCTTGTATGCTTCTAACTCTTCCATCAAGTTAAACCGAATCGTTGGCCATGCATCTTCATGAAGACCAATGTGGACAATTATTGCTTGGAATTCATAATTTTCATCACTCTCACATCATGTACCTGTCTGATGTAAGGGTGAAACATTTCTGGAAATTGATTAATATATGGATGTGCATTATAATTATTGTTGAAGAAAGAATTGTGTCTCGCTGGTTCCCTGATAGCTTATTTTATTCAAGTCAACAATTGATGACGTGTTCGAACAACTACGTCAAAGGATTCTTTAAAAGACGGATCAACATGAGTTGTAAAAGACGGACCAACCTTTGTTAAAAAAGACGGATCAACATGAGGTTTTCTGAAAAGTTTATCCTTCAACGAGGGACGTCCATGAATAGTCTTGTCAACAACTGGTTCACGAACCCATATCTTGTACGTAGTAACAATTAGAATTTATAGAGAACACGCCAACAAATTGAGCATGCCGATATTCCTGGAGTATTATGTATAGTGCATAAAATGAAACAAAACCACATTGTTCTACAAACCTTACAACTTTTATGTCCTTTTCATTATGCCTTTCCACTTCTGTTTTAAATTTTATAAAGCAGTCCAATACTTGTGATTTTTCTGCCATAAGGTATACATGGCAGAATCTAGAATAGTCATCAGTGAATGTGGCAAAATATTTATTTCCACATATGGTTTCTATTGGAAATGGTCYACATATGTCTGTGTGAATAAGTTCAAGTATGCAACAGCTTCTTCTAGAATTAAAGCTTCTTGAATTTGTCATTTTTCCTTTTAGACAATCCACACAGGTTCCAAGATCACTGAAGTCCAGTTCAGGTAAAATGTTCTGTCTTATCAACTCTTGCATTCTGAATTTAGATATATGTCCAAGTCTTTTATGTCATAATAAGGAAGATATATTTTGTTTAAATTTTCTTTTCATACCTGTTATTTTGTTTATTGAATATACCGTTCTTTTACAACTTCTGTTGAAAGATTCATTTATACAATTTATATGCCAATAACCATCTATCAAATTTGCATTCCCAAAACAAAAATCATTAATATAAAATAGCATATTATTTTTATTGGCATAAAAGCTTACTTTGTTTTCCAATACAAGTTGAGAACCTGATATAAGGTTTCTCTTTATTCTAGGAATACAATATACATTATTTAAAGTAAGGACATAATTATTTTTGAACAAGAGTTTGCATTCTCCCATAGCTTGAACCTTGAGTGCTTGACCATCTGCTGTACATATCTTGGATTCATTCAGCCTTGGAATTGTTATCTTTGACAATCCCTTTCTTATTCAGCCACTCTTTAAATCCCTCACACTCCTTCTTGAAATGTCCCTTTTTCTTACAGAAAAAACATTTCATCTCCTTTTGGTTCTTAGGGAATTTGCCTTTCATCTTGTCATTTTTGATAGCATAATTAGAACATTTTCCCTTTTGTGGTTTTGGATGCTTCCTTTTCTTCATGCTTTCCATATGATTCACAACCACTGCCTTTCCCTTATTTTTGATTTCGGATTCTTCCTGGACACATATGGAGATCAATTCATCTAGAGTCCACTTCTCCTTTTAGGTGTAATACAGACTTCTTAAGTGACTGTATTGATCAGGTAATGAATTTAATAATAAATGGACAAGAAATGAATTATCTATTTCAACTTTCATTTCTTTAAGTTTGCAGGAAGTATCAATTCCTTGTAGAATATACTCCCTTACACTTCCATGCCCATTATAACTCATTCTGATCAGTTTATTCATAAGGTATCCAGTTTCAGCTTTGTCTGATACCTTGTATTTGTCTCCAATTGAAGCAAAATAGACTTTAGCAAGATCAGAGTCTGGTATTCCTCCTTTTACTGCATCAGTCATGCATTTGTTTCATGTAAATTAAGGCTATTCTATTATGTTTATGCCACTCCTGATGTTTGGCCTTAATTTCCTTTCTGCAGGTGTTTGTGGTGGATCTTCTTTCAAGACATGATCATAGTCCAAGATTCCCAGGTTTAATTCAATGTCTTCTTTCCACTTCTTATAGTTTACACCATTCAATGGTGCAAAATTGACAATACTCATAGGATACTGTCTTGCATGATTATGTATGTATACATTCATACAAATGTCTAATTAGTCATTAATTATCAGTCCCAAAATTAGATATACAACTGCTGTGGCAGTATTTTATATATCATAAATATTGGAATATATGCAGTTTTTCAACATGCAACTATCATGTTACTATCATGCTTTCCTTGACTATTTTCATAGTACTTGGATCATTTTCATCCATAATCATTGTGATGATATGTGGATGTTATATATCAATGTATATTGGAATATGTGCAGTTTTTCAACCTGCAACTATCATGTTACTATCATGTTTTCCTTGACTATTTTAATAGTACTTGGATCATTTTCATCCATAATCATTGTGATGATATATGGATGTTATTAAATATTCCTTTAAAATCTTTGATTATATGAATTGTGTAGACATGAAAATAGAACAAATAATTCTAATTATCTTGTGAAATAATCAGAACCGCTATGATTATTTCATCAATAATTCAATCTGATAGGATGTTGGCTCTGATACCAATTGTTGTATTTCWTAGATTCTACAGAATTATGGTTCCAACAGATTGAATTAATTGATTATAGATATTAATCAAGAACTAACCTTGTGCAGTAGATGTAGATGCAGTGTTTTGATTTGGTTCCATGTTCTTCTACAAGATACACACTTTATTTCTCTTCTGGATGGACAGATATGCAGAGACGATTTTTGTGCTCTTGTGGAGGAATGAAACTGTTGCATTAACTTCTGTATTTATAGCATCAATTGGCGCCAAATAAGGGGATGCACCGTTTCCTTCCATCAAGAAAACGGTAATAACTGTCAATGCCTTAACTGCATTTATTAATTATAAATTCAAACTATATGTTATACGGGAGTAATATAATTAATCTGAATATACATATGTATGTTACAAAAACAGACAATAACATAAATACAAATGGTTGTCCCTATAACCATATCTTGTTCATACTTATTCTAACACAGCTTCCATAAAAACAGTTATTATATTTAATTTTTCAAATTTAAAACACAATTAAAACATTACCAACATTAACCATTACAAAGTAAAATGACATTCATATCTTTATTCATTAAAAAGAAAGAATAAAATATGGAATTTTTCTATTGGTTGAAATTGGTTTCTATTTAGGTACAATAACGAAATAATTTGTATTTGGTTTAATAATATATTTTTCTTATAAA